ATGCCACTCGGCTGGCCCAAATTTCTTAAAATCATATGAATCCTTAATGTTAGCGCTGGAAGACAGCCTAAATCTCCTGACTTTTAATCCAAAGCTTTTCCCAATTTTACCATATGGTATGAACATTTTGTAAAGAGTATCTATTTTGTAATATTCCTCTCCTATGCATGGAGAAGAGAACATTCTTGACCATACCTTTTTTGTAATACGTTTCTAAATTCCTGGTCACTCTAGGGAACAAGCCCATGGTCAATTGGCAGTTCTAGATTAAGTTTACCCTACTTATTGCTCTTTTGGGGAGTTTCTAATGGGTGTTGATAACAGAAAAGAGCTGACTTATGTCCATTTAAATTTAGTGGCAGGCACATATCCATTGTTTAAGGGAGTTATAGTAGTCTCAGTAGGCACTGGAGAGTACTACCTGAGATAGAGGGTAAGAGCTTACAAACATTAAAGGTGATGTTAGGAATTCATACAGACAAGCAGCTCCTCACACTGCTCTATACAAACTCATCATTTGCCATCAAATCAAGTTCACCTAATGCCCTTCCCAATGATTTTCATTTTGTATCAAAGACTTCCCTCCTCAGTGATATTAGACCAGAGCCAGAAACAATCAACTTATCAACTACATACAGTGGTGACTACTCTTAGCAACTTAATGAGATAATCACCAAACACTAAAGTTTCTTTACAAAGTATTAAGAGTATAGCCCATCCTGAAATCAAACACGATGTTGTTTACTGTGAAAGATACACATGAGCATTTTACTTGCACTAGAGAACTGATAACTTAGTTGAGGAGGTGAGACTTATATGCATAAAAAGTTAATTTTTGAGTACAAGAAGGAAAGTACAAATAAACTTATAAAACCACAATACTTCTATTTTATTTGATTTAATTCAGAGTTATATTAATAAAGCTAGAATTAAAGTAATCAGTTCAAGGGATAAAAGCCTATATGTAAATAATCTGTGCGGATTGTACCAATGTCAATTTCCTGGGTTAGATAATGTATTATAGTTATATAGGATGTTATCATTGGAAAAGTTGGGTGAAGGGTACATAGAAACTCTGTACTATTTTTGCAACTTCTGAGTACAAAATTATTTTTAAAAAATCGTAAGGGATGGTATAAGAATAGGGAGAACCCTCCCCACAAAAAAGTTGAATTTTAAATTGTAGCAATAAAACCAAGAGACAGGAAGAGGCCAAAGTGTGTTAATATTACNCTGATCTTTACATACTAGATGTTACATGAGTAATTTACCCACAAAAGACTGAGTACTCTTTTCTATACATTTTTAGAATAAAAACTACCACTTATTGAAGTGTTGTTAGTATCAAACACTTGCTTTTCGTTTAATCCTCATCATTTAATCCTTCTCATTTAATCCCAACATCAACCCTATAAAATAAACCTTATAATGCCCACCCATGTTATAGATGAAGAAACTACAGCTCAGATAAATTAAGTAATTTGCCTAAGATTACCCAATCAGTAATCAGTAGTCTAGAGTTAAACTCTCTCATGTTTGGCTCCAAAACTCTTCTGTCCCGTATGTACACAGCCTCTTGCTTGTAACTACAAGAAAAATACTATAATAGAAAAATACTATAAAGTGTATTATAACATCTAAGAGGCCCTTGTTAATTCTTCATTAATAGCCTTTGTGGAAATGACAAATAACATCTGCAGTTGAGTTGATAGTATTGTGCCAATGTTTATTTCTTGATTTTGACAATGTACTAGGGTTATTACCATTAGGGAAAGCGGGGCAAAGAATACATGGGAACTCTAAACCATTTTTGCAACTTCTTGTATTAAACTATTTTCAAATAAAAAGTTATTTTAAAATAGTAAATATCCACAGATATCTCCCAGATTGGCATCCATATGGCCCCAAGCCTTTTAAGAATTTATTTCTAGAATTATATCCTATAAATACTGTTTTAGGTGACTTCTGGTGCTATGGTAAGATAATCCAAAGACTGAGAGTTTGACTAATAGAATCAATGAATATTAGCAAAGAGATAGGCTCATTCACTGGCCAAAAGTAGGAAGATTAACTTGATTGTTACCCAACAGGTGGTATCTATCTCATTTGAAGAAGGCCTTGATGACATAAGGAAGTGTGCATGGGCACATGGGTTTCAGAAGGGCACAAGTGGTCATGGGCCATCCTGATTGTTCAAAGCAGAGAAATTTATTTTAAGGACATAAGAAACCTGGTCTCTGGAAAATCATTCTCTTTGTGGGGTACACTATTTCATCTGGCTTTTCCAGAATTTAAATTCTAAGAGAAAGACGATATTGGATAAAATTTCTGGTTGTACAATAATTAGGAAAAGATCTAGACCATGGAGAATCCATAAAGACACCATCCTGTGGGGCTCTGTCTCAGTAGATTCCCAATATTTCTGGCTCCTTAAAATCCCAAAGATGTTATTTGAAAAGATAAAATGTATGGATTAAACTAATTCTCACTAGCAAAAAGATCATATTGTGCCTTTTAAGTAATTTCTGTAGCACTTAGTAAATAAGTGTTTATTAGAATTACA